TCTCTAGATGTCTAAATCTGTCCATTAAATTCAAAATAATTTTGGTCTAAAGATACTATTAAGCAATCTAATAAATCTTGTTTCACCAATGGATTAACCTGTTTCCAAGTGAGGGTGAAATCTATTAAATCTATCACATCCATAGGTGAAATACTGGGAAATAAGTTTTGTACATCAAAAGATAGGAGAATTTTTTATTAACTATTTTGGTTTAAAATCTATATAGAATTTTAAAATATTTACTAATTTTGTTGCGGGTTTAACTGCTGGAGCCGTTACATAAGACACGACTGGTCTAATGGGCATATGTTATTTATGTAATTTAATTAAAGAATATAATTTCAGCGTTTGTGGATTCATAATTGTTAATAAGTACTTGTCTTTGTCACTAAATAGGGTGGTGTTAGTGGTAAAGTGAAGCTTCCCGGACGCTAGATCGGTGTGTAATTAGGTATTTTACAGACGGGAGTAGAAAAACATATTTTCGTTTCAAATTACTTTATTCATGTGTAAATATAAAAACTGTTCATACATCTGAAATACATCTCCATTAAATTATATCAGACGCCAGAAGTCAGGATTCCACATAAGCGGGGTTTACTTCAGACATCCGATGAGGTAGAAACATATTCTCAGTCTACAAGCATTTACACGGAAGATCCAAAAATTCTTGAACACTCTATAAATCCCTACTAACCAGATACTGATTGATTTTAAGTTGAAATGTTTTATTTCACCTTATATATAATGAAAGTTTATTAAAAAAACAAAACTACTAAAAATTTTAAAATTTGTTATATTTTGGTATGGTAAGAAGTCATTGTACTTTTTTTAATGGAAATTTTTCTTACAATTTCCTTTATAATTTCAGTGAAGTAACCGGATGTCTACTAAACATGTCTCATTTGCATTACCTGCTAAAATAAAGAGGTAAGGAAAGGCAAGTTTCTTGTATAAATTTTAATATCTAAAATATTGCGCCTTTTTTTTAATTGTATATGCAACAGCAAGTGGGATATTAGCTAAATTGTAAAGTAGAATTGAAGCTTACGCAGCTAACGATTACTAAAAAATACGTCCTTAGCTACCTTATTTCTAAAAGAATAAAAATTAGTTTACGTTGTTATCATATTACACCAGAATAACTACAATACTACAAGGTAATAAATAAGCTATTAGGAAAAAAGAAAAAAATATATCTTTTAAAGTAAACAATTGCATCTAATACTTCGCGAGGCACAGTATGAGCTACTCTTACTGGAACACCCTGTGCAGGTATGTGTATTTGTCAGGTCAATCCATGGATAAAGTTTTAATAAATATTAATACTGGCGAAATGGCCTAAATATTGATTGCAATTTTAAATATTTTGCCATGCATATCATGCCCAATTCGAATTATCGACTTAACTCTTCTTTTCGTGCTATACATCGTTCTACGACATCTTCCGATTCCAAATCTCCATAGATCCATATATCCCCATCCATTCCCCTCTCTCCAACCCCTCTTGACATTCCTCTTTTTCTTCTCCATATAGGCGTCCTGATAACTATTTCTTGTAATTTCATCCGCAATTGCGTATCCTCCTTTCATTACTTCCTAAACCGGTTCATTTGGAATTCCAAGTCTTGATTTCCCTACCGCCCGGCTCTAGAAATCTGTCTCTGTTGCCTCCAGCATTATGCCTTTATTTTAACTATCATACTTCGCAACAATATATTTTGTTTTGTTTTGTAATTTTTTAGACGCTGTTTAACCTTCCAGTCGTTCAAGGTCTTGATGCACACCGCCAATGATATGTTCACCTCCAATCCCCATTTCTTATACTATGTCATCGTCGTAAGGTGGTGGTAAGATGATCTGGTCATATGCAAAACTAATGGTGTACAAGTTTTCGTTATTAAGTGGGATGCCGATATTCTTACATTTTTGTTTCCATAACTTTAGAGATTGATCGAGTTATATCTTAAGCAGAATAAGTGACGGAGAGGCCTTTGTTCGATGTGAACTCGGCAGACATTTTGCTGGCGGTTTTAACTTTAATATACTGGGTTCTATATAGGTTCTTCCCCGACTCTTTCGGGGTGATGCTTATGTTTGTTCGTTTCATTGCCTCCCGCGGTTTTGTTGGTGGTATACTGCGCTATACCAGCCCCAAGCTCCAGGCCTTGCGATGGTAGAAATAAGGAAGGAGGAGGGATAGAGGAGTACCACGTCGCTAAAAGAGTTGCGGAAATACTTTGATGCGGGTGATTCCGCGCAAGTAGCGAAAGTAGGGAATATATAAACGCAAAAAAAGAACTAGAATATTGGGTGATCAAAGGCTAGAGGAATAAAACCTTAACATTACAATCACGTGGTCCTCCTGCTAGGGTGTTGGAGCATCAGGCCAATTTTCCGGTACTAGCAACAAAAAACCCAAACTGCTTTGGAATGGACCGAAACTCCCAAGACGATCTAAACTATAAAAAAGGATTAAGACTTTCGGGGCATGAAACGTAGAAGGTGTCTCCAACAAAATGAATGAATTCATCAGTGGACTTCTAGGATCAGAAATACAGCTATACCGAAAACTAAAAAGAAAGGTCGGGGATCTCAGAATCTGGCACACTACGACCACGTCTAAAGCGGTGTTTTCATCACAACATCACAACAAATCGTATCCATTATCACCGCTAAAAAAAGCACGTCACATTGCACAGGCTATATTCAGAGTATATGCGGTTAATGTTGATGCTCCAATTAATAAGGGCGAGTTTTTTGAGCAAACGCACCAAAAAATATCAAGAATCGGGGGCCTAAACGGAAGAACTGGAAATAAATTATGTGGCAAACTGTTTGGAAGATTTGCCGAAAACGCAAAAAAGGGTTTCATTAAAATTGATGGGCGCAACCTTGAAAGTACGAAAGGATAATATTATTATATAGATAGAAAGTGAAAAACTAGAAGCACACAAAATATACAATAGTTAAAAAGAAACAGCTCAGTTACACTGCTGAAATATTCAACGCAACTCACTCAGACCTTATAAGCTTATGTAGTTTTTTGAGTTTTTGAGAATTTTGTGTAACACTTTAGCCACATTGCAGCGAAAAGTTCTCTCAAAATTTTCGAAAATATGGTCGCACTTGCGGATGTTACGGAAGTTTAAATAATAGTACAAAATTAAAGTGCTTCAAATTTGGGAGTAGATGTCATTAAAGTAAAACTAAACTGAACATAAGGCTTAAAAAAGTTAATACTGTTCTCATGGATCTCAAAGTATTTGAGCTTTAAGTATAAAATTGAATTAATTACAGTATCAAATATTCTAGTGTATTTGAGCATTATAAGCACCGCATTCACTTTCCGGTCACAAGCTGAGAGAAATCTATTAATAAGAAAAGTAATATGAGGCGGTATGAGAAATAATAACATCTTTCCGAAGATTTAAGATGGTTGACAGTTTCCTCCATCAATATGAATATTTTTTTTTACTTTAAATATATGCAATATCAGACTTAGACTTTCGAAAAGCTAGTTCTTATTACTAATCCATGGGGCAGGAGGTTTTTTATGATCATAATTTTTAATAGAGCATGTAAATCAAAAGACCAAATTATGTTAGCGTTAAGAAAATTTAACATCTCGTTGATATCGTTCATCCCATAGACCGAATCCCAGTGAATGATATGCATGGAGTTCAGGTACATCAAAATTATAAAAATCTACTTCAAGTTGGTATTTCACTCAAAATTGAGAGATATTCTAAAATGCTATTGGTTGCTGAAAACAATAATGCTTTTCTTTTCTTTGGCGCGAAATCACGTTATAAAAACAATAAAAATTAGGTGATGCAGTATATCCTTTTACCTTTATTAAATTTAATTCTGAATTTTCTCAGGATCGCCAATAAGCAAGGCGCTTTCCGTCGGCAGCAGGAGTTCCGGAAATGTGCCGCAGTGCCGCCGCCAGTTGCAGGATGTGGGGACTTGTGCCGCATTGCACAAGAGATAACCGGTGAAGCGTGCACAGACAACCGATAAGTTAAGATTTAATCTATTTATTTTGGGAAAATTATTCCAGATCCGGCGGCTATTCAAATAAATGTCACCTCTTAAGATTTGAAGCCCAGTTTTAAAGAAAACAAGGAGCTCTGTCTCAATATACATTATTATGAATTGGTATATAAACTCCAATTTCCTAATAACATTGACGCTATATTTCTTTACAATGATCCATCGAAATGCATTTAAAATTCGATAATAAATTACGCATTATCGCATTCATCGAAAATAATATGCGGAAAAACTAGATGAATAAAACATTAACTAAGCAAATAATTTAATTTTCAATTGCCATCCAATGTATTAAAGTTTTAATAAATTATACGCCCAAGGATTAAATGAAAAAGCTGCAAATTTCGAATTAAATTATTTTATTTATACAGTATGGTTGAAATGAAATAAATAAATGTAATTTTATTTATTTTTGAGCTTCTATATGAGCGTGATGACACATACAGTAACATTTTTAAACGGAATGTTCGTTTTAATTGTAATTTAATCATATTAATTATTTAGGTACCTTCTCTTAATGCTAACTTAATTTAATATTACCATGGCAACTTATTTAGACAATTATTATAAAATGGTAAAATTTTAAAAACATTGAAAAAATTGAACCTATGACGTCATCATTTCCACATGACATAAAAAAAAGAAAGATGAAGTGCGTGTTTCATTAAACTTCCCTAATTTTGAAAATATTTAGCGATATAAATACTGAGTTTTGTGAATGACATGAGAATGCGGAATAGAAATGGAACAGTTCTTAGTGTGCATTGTTTTGCTGTATTGCTGGACAGCATTTTATTACGTCCAAATTATATTTGACAGCTTTATAACAATAGAATTAAATTTTAAAGTTATATAAATAGTTAAATGAACTGTCAAAATATTTTTTACACAATTGTTAACAGTAGAATATTTTTTATTGCGACAAGTAAAACTTTTTGCACTATTTCGCTGCAGAAAAATAATTAAAAATTATCAGGGATATAGCAACAAATTGCGTTTATCATAAATATCGAAATAGCTATTAAAAGAAAATGTACGGTTAGAACGTCGGTAAATTGTTAACCTAACAATTTTCGGCGATTAAAATTATAAGGAAAGGTAAAGGTCAAGGTGAAAGCCTTATAATCACATAATAAATCTAAGAAAAATATAGTGATGCGAAATAAAGCTTTATCAGAATCGCATCAGTCAATCGATATTTATGTAAATGAAAATATGATTTTAGTTTGAATTTTCAACTACTGCCCAATATACTAACCAAGTAGACTTTATCTTAAACGAACAATAATAAATATGAACTTCTAAAAATAATTTAATTAATTTCTTTCAGTTGTATTCGTCCCTGCATTTGCCGTTAGGATCTTTCAAGCAGTCGGAGTTGCTCTTGACGTTGGTGAGGTGAAAAAATGTGATTTCAGGAGTACTTTTATTGCTGTCATGGAAGGCCTCGGTTACGATACTTTCTTGGATTGGCTCTAGCATGAAAGGAGAAATATAAAAACAATATTATTAGACGTAATTGTTTCAATAACAATAATAATAATAATAATAAAAACTATTTCTCAAAGAAACTTCCACAGACTTCTGTAATAATGTTTACAAAAGTTCTGGATTCCTCCTGCGTCAGTTTTTGCTTAGTCGAAATTGCTGACGTCTTGCCAATCATCCTGTTGGCTTCTTCAGAGCTTGACTGAAACGCAGAAAGAATCCAGAAGTTTTGACATACTTGACATACACTCCTACATCTTATTTGGTTTTTATTTTGTATTGTAAAAGAACTTTTTGCACAATATTTAAATTTGTGTTGTTTGAAAATTTTTTAAATTATATATTAATAAATTTTTGACAGTTCCTTCCTTCCTCGTATTTGTAACTTCATATTTAATAATGAGAAGAAAACTATCCGTATCCGTAGCAAAGTTTTAGTTGGTGAGGATTGACAGTCATTTATCTATATTTTGTCCATTGACTGGAATTGTCATCCGGCCTTATACACAACTGGTTTGCCATCATTCTTCAAGCTCTTGAGAGATTAAGATTTTTAATTAACTGTTCAGCTGTCTTCTGTATAGGTTTGTTGGTTTTTCGCTTTGAGAGAAGTAACATGTTAAAAAAATGTTTTATTACTTATTATCGTCTTGACAAAAAAACACCATTATTTATTATTATTGCTGTGAATTCAGCAATTATGGGTTAATTTACCTGTTGTTTGAGAATCAACTCCCAAGTTGCCAAAAAGAATACTTGATGGTTCGGTAAGTGATCTATCACCAGATCCTACCAAAGCATACTTTTACTAACTTGCTCATTATTCGTATAAATTGTGTATACTAACCAGTATTTTTGGTGTGCTCATCATGCCAATCGTATTTAGCAAATGGATTACCTAGCAATCTTGAGGTCTCAGAACTTTGTGTCACGGAAATTTGCGTAGCAGTTTCTTTTATGTTAGCATCTAAAATTAAACCTCAAGTTAAAAGAGAATATATGGTTCACCTAAAATAACACACAAAAAATATAAATGTACTTTGTTAAAAACAAAGTCAACAAAAAAACAGGTAAATATGAAATATGATTCATGAATTTTCAGAAATAATTTTGTGATATAACCCTTTGAATCGCTTTCTATTTGTCGTTGCCTCAAAATCTGCACACTGCAGTTAGTATACATACATTATGCATGTCCCTTATTGGTAGCTCTAGTAAAGGTTGCTTTAATAGTTGAAAATTTAATTGAATCCTTTTTTACAAAAGTCATTGTTGGCGGATGTTTGTTTACTTGTCGTGCCGTATGCTTGTATATAATCAAAAAGTGTTTTGTGAGTATGAAATTTCATGTTTTTTGTTCCGTTTCAAAAATTCTTACGCATGATTACTTCAAACTTTAATAGGTTTATTTTTGCCATTTATTTAAAATTATATCAAGATACATATAAAAATATATAAAAAAATGATTTACAGGACGTTCCATTTTATGACTGTTTGCTAATTACGTTGGTGAAAACTAGTGAGTCGTCAAACTACTTTTTACAATAGATATGAAAAATTCTTTCAACGTTTCCACATCGCTTTTTGTTAGGAAATGTTTATAGAACAATTGTATACCTACAACTGTGTTTGTACCTATATTAAGAGGATAAATATTATGCATTCAAACGTTTCAAAGAGCTTAGTCACATTGATATGTTTTCTCTGCTTTCAAATGGTGTACATAAATTTTAAAGTTTGGAATTTTGGACTAAGGTCAAAACATAATAACTTGATCTAGAATATAACATTTAAAGAGCATGTTAAATCAACTCACTTTCAAAGGGTACGGGGAATTTCTTGTAGACCCAATCAAAAGACGGAGGCGGTATACTCACGACACAATGAAGCACACCAAAAACCATTAGCACCGCACGTATCATTTTTACGAGTAACTTCGCCCAAAATTCAAATGTGTCTTTGGCGTATTTAAAAGGTCGATTTTAACAATATTTAACTAAGATCGGTTATTTCCCGCAACCTTGATTTGTTCAACGGAATACAGGGCCGCATTTTTTTTTTAGACGAACATTTATACACATTTATACACCTTAATATACATTATTGTGAATTATTGTGTGCGGATAGTGAACCGACATTTTTGATTTGGAATACGAAAATTGCCGACACATGATCTCTTTGGTAATAGCGGCCATACCCTTATGGTATACAAAGAATTTCAAGGAAATATAAATTTAAAAGGAATTACGACAGATACCATTTCCTATATGGTTTACCACTCGATTTCGCTTAATTTTTTGTGTTTATACACTTAAATTACGACAAATTTGATTCTGAAAATAGTTTTCTCAACTGCCTGCACACGTTCGACCCTGGTAACTAAACCAAACAATGAAAGAAGTTATTTATAGCGGTGTGTCTCTCTTCGTCAAATACTCGTTACAGGGAAATCTCGAGTATACTGCGGTTACCATAAATAAACTAATGGTATCACGAAATTAAAAATCATTGCCATAATCGACGCTTACGAGAGAGGGTAAAATTTCGGAAAAATCGAAAATAAAACTTTTAATGAATTTTGAAATTTGGGGATCTCATTTTAAAAAACTTTTCCACAAACTCCAAAAAAAAATCAATATTTTTTTGTCAGGGAGACTTTTTATGACAAATCAAAATCTGCATCCCCTGTCCCCCATTTTTTTAACAGTCAAGTGACTCCTCATTAAAATAAGTTTTTATTTCTCTACACATTTCTGTTTAGTTTTTGAAAAGCGAGCCGTTCATTAAAAAAATTGTGAATGAAGAAGTCAAAAATCAGTTTAAATTTTCTTTGTTCTATTAATGAAATTAATTTCTTTCATGTTATTTAATGTACAGGTCCTGGATGAGTGTCGTTGAATGTATTTAAGAGGTTGACATGCGAATACCTGAATGCATACCAAAATGCCTTCAACCAAACTCTAATGAACAGAACATACTGAACACAGATCTACTACTCATTACTCGATAATAATTTAAATTCCACGTTTATAGGATTGGATATGACGAAGGAGAGTAATTAAGTGACCTTGATCAGCAGACTTGAGTCATTTATAGTTCTTTTATAGAGACACAGCAGATTGGAACTGGTACATCCCCCCCAAATCCTCCAGAATGTACACAATAGGTTTGAAGATATGATGTATCACAAGTAACGAAAGTTTCCAAAGAAAATTATATCAATTTTTATGGAGCGGGTATTCTTATTAAGTGGCAGATATATGAAAAGGTTATTCCTCAAGTGTTTTTAGGAAAAATATACCATGTAAACGTTTCCGAGGCAAGGTGTTAACATACTAAGGAAAAAATCTTGTAAGCAGCAAAGCCCACTAATCGGTGCTAAATAATTTAAACAAAATATATCGGTAACTTCCGTAATGGGTTCAAACCGAATATTTTTGAAATTTGTATGTGCATCTGAAATTTTGTCTATTTTCTATGAAACCTATATCGGTTACTGAAGAAGCTCCCCCCACAATTTCAATTAAATGTCAAAACTTATTGGAAGAAGCATTAAAAAGTTTTAATCTCACTTTTTGGAAGTTGCTTTTTATCGAATTTCGGATACTTATCAGTGACTTCTGTAATTGGTTCAAACCGAGTATTTTTGAAATTTGGTTTTGAAGTTTGGTTGAAGTTTGCTTTCTTGTACGTGCATCTAAACTTTTTCTATTTTCTCTGAAACCAATATCGGTTACTGAAAAAGCTCCTCTCACAATTTCAATTAAATGCCAAAAATTATTGGAAGAAGCATTAAAAAGCTTTGATCTCACTTTTTGGAAGTCGCTTTTTATGGAATTTCGGATACTTGAAGAAAAAAGAAAAGCTTCAAAGAGGTTTTGCTGTTCGTTTTGCTGCAAACAAATTTGACGTACTTTTGAAAATGTGTGATTTAAATGTATGGAAACGGGAGGAAAAAAGGTACCTTTTAAGTTGTAGCCGGAATAAAAAAAGATAAACAACACTTTTTACATATAATGTTTCCTAACAGTATCCGGCTTTAGCCTTTTTCTCGAAAATCCAAATAAGGGTGTATATGGTGGTGGTATATAAGCATGAATGAGCCTTCAGCATTAAAGCAAAATGACGTAGTTACTAATTGGCCCCCCTGTCTGCCGATGTTAATCAACCAACTTGCTTTTTACCTTTTGTGCAGATTATTTTCGGCAGTGCCTTCGGTACCGTAGTCATGTCCTTCTCGTCTACGTTATATATATTCTGCTAACTGCGATTAAATCCTACAGCTCTTGTAGCTGAGGTATCCTCTGGTTTGCGAAGACTAACATCGGGATTTCGTTTTAAAAAATTCTCAAACCAACATCTACCGGTCATATTTTTACTTGGGTCAATGTTATGCTGAATGTTGTTTTGTTCTGCAAAGTCGCATGTCAAAGATGTCAAATCTTTTATTGAAAGACCAAAGGACCTGTCATCCATATTTTTATTAAATACTGTATCAAATTTCCCCATTTTCACTGTTGCTGTACCAATATCTTGATTGTTTTCTTTGTAATGTTGTTTTAGGTTCATTATAATTTTCAGAAGCCTTTCTAAATGCCATAGGCTTAGTCGCAACTTTAATTATTTCTTGTTCAATTGGTTCTTTGGAACATTTTTGTCTCTCAATCTTGCTTTTATAGTTACAAACCATTTGAAAATATTAAAAGGTTTGTTTAAAAAAGTGGTCCATTTTGCCTTTTTGGTATATTCAAGAAAACATGCCGATCTGGAGGTTATGTCAACATAGGACATCAAAGAAATATGATATAGTTTGAAGCTAATATCTTTCCCTTAGAGAGAATAATAGTATTATAGAGGAAAAAACTACAGGCACTTAAATATTGTTTCATTCAGATATATCTATTTAAATTTCGTAGTTCACACTTGTCGGCTTGTGGCTGACTATCCGAAGCTCGTTCGTGTTGTGACCATTAGATAATCCAATTAGATGAAATTATTTCACGCGTAGACTCCAATTAGTTCAACGGAAATGAAAGCTGGTCTCCTACACTTGACTTCTGAGAACGGTTAATCACGGTTTTGAAAGTAGGTCTCAGCTAAAGAACTTTTATTTTATTTTTTTTAAAACTTCTAGCTAACGTTTTGCCAATCATCCTGCCTGCTGTTTTGCTTGGCTTCTTCAGAGCGTGACTGAAACTGAAACCAGTTTCAGTTTTAGTGAAGCTCTGAAGAAGCGAACCGGATGATTGGCGAAACGTTAGCTAGTTCGACTCAACAACAACCGACGCAGAAACAATCTATAAGTTTTATAAAAAGTATTACAGTAGCCATTGTAAGTTTCTTTAAAAAATTATTTTTTTTTTAGCTTTTTTCAACACAGTTGTGTTTTGTTAAATTCTTTAGAGAAGCTGTTTTAAAATCCTGCTACTAAGAAACAATTTCCAAAGATTAGAAAGCCGATATGCAGAGGACTTTGGATTTACAGCAGCAAAATAAGGAGATTTTATTCCCAAAAGAAGTCAGTCAGAAGTATCTGATATTAGGAGTGAAATCAGTATCAAATCATGTTTGTCGCATTAAAAGAGCATTATTTTTTCATCTATTGCAAGAGAGCAAGTCTAAAAAAATTAATATGAATTTCTATTGACACCCAGTTCGTTATATTACCGCCCCACTGTAAGCAAATTGGGCATTAAAGCAGCAAATCCCATGTTCGTACGTACGTGGCAATTCCCGTTGCGGATAAATGATAACGAGTTGAAAATTACGGACAAAAATTCCTTTGAGATTTTTAAGTTGACAATTTCTAATTTGAGGGAAGCTGCATCTCCTCACAACAACCAATTTGTGCTGCACTCAATTATAGAGGCAGCGGAGGGCTTAAGCCATCCCTATAGAGATTAATGATAATCCTGTTTCGCATTGTTAGAGGTCGACAGGCATTGTAGTTGCAGAATAGTTCTGTAGCAGGTTTGCGAGATCGTATTTCACTAAGGCAGCGTGGCATAAGGATTACTGCGCTTTTAATTCATTCGTTTCGGCTAAATAGGAGCTAATTTAAATTAAACTAGTTTATAAAGACAACGGTGAACCTAACTGCACCAAATTTTGCGAATCAATTACCAATACATTTAAATAAATGAATAAAAGTTTATCAAGATGTTATCGATTATCCAAATAAAAATAACTTCGACAAATCTGCATTCAGAGATATAAAAGAATGTAAATCGAATATCCAAAATTTCTTATTTCTTCATTCATTCACTCATTTTATAGAAGATTTTGAACGTCACTTGCACGCTGAACTTCTTGGTCTACCAGTTAAAACCAATCCCACAGTACCTAACTGCAGTTATTACCAATGCCTGGCCTAAAACTGACTAAAACAAGTGATATCGATCAAATAAGAGCTTAGCTGCTAGTCACAGGAATAAATTCGAATAACGTAGAAAAAATGTGTCTGTCAATAATTCTTCGATTGTTGTATCGTCAGTTCCAGTAGAAAGTTCTCAAGCTACAGAATCATGATAAATTGGGTTGTTTGAGCATGGTGATTTTGAAAAACGGCGTTTTTAACAGATATATTTTACTGCTAGACTCAGAAAAATGTTACAAAGACTTTGCGAAAAATAATAATGTGTTAGTCTATACGTCTTATATTATCAGAGCCTAGAAATGTTGTATTACCAGTACTTATAGTTCGTTCTCAAGCGTTACAGTACTCTTTAATACAATTATAGTCAATTGGGCTCATTGAGAGTGATCATCTTAAAACCACAGATGTGTATCTTGGTGAGTCTAAAAACCGTCTTTTACCGCGCATATTGATGATATTTTTGTTATTTTTTTATTGTATTTTTGGCCTTATTTAATTAATAAATTATGTATATAAAGGATAGATATGTGATTTATGTCAAGCAAGGTGTGCAAATAGTGGAGCACAGTGAATACCACATTTAGAAAGTTCTATAATTTAACATTCAAGAAATTTTGTACCATAAAATACATTATTATGTCTGGATACTGGATAAAATTTTTTACATATTTTCTTTGAAAGCCTCTATAGAGGAAGAGAGAAAGGATGTCAAAGGATAAAGGTGACTTTGGATCCGAGAGGAGAGTACTACTTTTTCTTTATTACTTTTACATGTGTTTGTAATCAAATTACAACAGGTCACTAAAAAATGAAACTCTATTCATTCAACAATGATTTTACAGAGACGCTGTAGTTGTCCATCTAAATGTGTTATTGTTGAAGATAAATCTGGGTAGCACATTTACGGGTGAGGTGGGTCGACACAAGTATCGCCAGGGAAATGACAACGGCCGTGTTCTGGAAAAAATGATAGACATAGTTGTTTGAACCAGGCACCAATTAGTGTTGCATATAGTTTAAATGGTTCAGACTTACTTCGAGCTCGGCAATAGTCTGTCGTTTCGTCGGAAGCGTCGCCACAATCATCGACATCGTTGCATTCCAAAGATTTCGGAATACACGTGTTTGTCAAGCAATGGAATTCGTCGGGTTGACATTTAACTACATTGAAACAATAGAACCGAATTTATAAAGTTGGTATATACTTAAAATTTGCAATAATTTGGCGATTTCAGAGAAAAACAAATTTAAAAGTTTAAGATGGCAGTTACGCCTTTTGCCGAATATCTTGAAAGTCCGAAAATATGTGATTTTCTTTTGTTCGCCTTAATGATAAAATTTAAGTTTCTTCATTTCAATATATTCAAATTTAATATTATGAAAATACATAATGAACTGTGTAAGATTTTCGATATTCTCGAACTTAAAAGATAATATCTAATTTATAAATAATTTCATCTGTTAAATAAAGTTGATGCTTTTTCGATCATATTAACCCAACCTTAATTGTTAGTTTCATTTCGGTGACTTGGTAAAAGTTTGTATATTCCGGAATCATATAGTTTCCGAAATAAACGACAATTTAGCAATTTCTCATTGTAATAACGCTCTAATAAGAGTGTTAAGTTTTGTTATTACTTGACGACGATTCTGATGCTCTAAAAAATAGAATTGGAAACGATTTTAATTTCTAAAATAAATACTATATACTATATAACATACACAACTTGTATCATTGAAGTTGGAAGATGGAAGTCCTGTGGAACATCTGCTTTAAGTTTTGGAATTTTATGTATTTATTTTAAATTTGTAATATGTTTTTTAAAACTTGAAAATCCTAATTGTGTCAAAGGATCTGTCAAATCCTCTCAGACTTTAGGACTCCCTGAATCACGTCCAATTCTTCCAAAAGTGGCTTTATCAGGAATTCTTCTGTGTGGATATTTTCCTGTGGATAAAGCGATACTTTTCTTGTTTCCAATATAAAAAACATTTAAGTAAAATATTTTATTCCCTTTTTCGAGTTTCTAGAGACCATTTTTCCCAAATCGATCCACGGAAATTGAAGAGTCCGTAAAAAATCTTAGTCTTGCAATTAACCACAAAAAACTTCAAAACTTAAAGTCGGATACTTTGCTCTAAAATTAATATTTGTTCATAGAGAATCTTTAAATAGAAATTTTTATTTTTTGTAATAATGTTTATGATCCTTGCTTTTATGCTTTCGACACACAACTCATTCAAAAATTTTGAAATGCAAAGGAACGTATATCATATTAGACTTAATGATTTAAAATTGCTAAATATTTCACATAGTCTATAGATATAGTCCATAATGACAAAATGTATAGAAAAAATATTTTAACAAACAAACAAACAAATTACAGCTGGAACTATTTAGCCAGCAGTATGGTATGCTTTTTTATTCCACAAATATATTAAACTCCGTGTCTTTTAATGTTTCTCTCTGGACTTTCTGCTCTCCATTACAAATATATTAAAAGGTAAAACTAGGAGTTACCTATTATAGTTAGATACATATGTATTAACCGTTATATTTGTTCATTTCAATATTGAGTATGTATAGGAATGATGTTTGTGATTATTTAAAACTAAGTAATTTTTTTTGGCTTGAACAGCATCTAAGATAGTCAACTGAATATACTGCACGCTGAATTATAACCATTTAACCGCTGTGAAATGGCTTCATTGTAGTATTGTTTATTTATGTGGTTTGTGAAGTGTCGTTTCTGTGCTGCCCGAATATAAATAAATAAATTAAAAAATAATAATGACATTTAAACGTACCTAAATAATTTACATAACACCAGATTCAAAACATCAAAATAATACTCTCACGCTTAATGGCAAATCATCAGCACAAATTCCGAGTATTTTTAAAAGTAATTGTTAAACGTAAGGATATTAACTACTGACCTGGCGAGACTCCCACCGCATCATACGGACCAATTGCAGCGATCAGCAAAGCAGAAACGAATATTATCGATAACGGAGACATGTCGTACAAGTATAACGAGTTGGGGACAAATGTGCCGCATTTATAAATTTTTCAGCTTTAACCTCTTGACCAAATCGGCGTGTTTATCTGCAATATGCAACAAAACCGCAAGTGCAATTATTGTTAGAGTAGATCACGTTTATCTTCTATTAATTAGCAATTTGAGGCGATTATCATTTTACAAGGATATTATGTAAGATTTGAAGGCATTTTTTTGTAACTACCGCGCGAGTAAATAAGTTGTTTTGCAATGTTATCATCACATTAAGCATAATTGCCATTTCTGAAGGCGAAAAGGACAATATCTTAATAATTAGTAATTTCAATATATAACAAAAACAACAAAATATAGCCTAAAATTTTACGATGAACTACGAAAAATTAATGCAAATAAAGTTAAAAGCATGGAAATATTTAAATATTTTTGTATATATATTTTCCATCACAACTTAATCTTTTAAATCAATATATTAATACTTAAGGCAATATAATGATGATATAATAAAGCAGTTACGCATATAATGAATGACATTAAATGGTTTCCATTCGATTAATCGACTTGTATTATTGCTTTGCCGCATAATTACGAATAATTTAATTATCCGATGGATTTTTATGGACTGGCCTCGTGTCCATCGTTGAAATTAATAAATATCTATGTGGTACTATTTTTTGTCGTAATTCTATAGAAATATAAAATGTTTGCTGTTCGATGTACAACATATGTTTGTATTATTCTATGAACACTGATTTATTTTTGAACTTCTGTGAACCTAGTTCATAACTATATAAAATTAAATTAACCATCCGTTTAAGGGAATCAGCAACAAATTAACCTCTGTCAGACTAGATTCAATCATTATACGTTGTCGTGTACTTTTATCATCAGAGGCTTGAAACTTGTCTGACTCTCTTTTCTATTTTTTGTATCTTTTTGCCTCCTTCACTTCTTTTTCGCGTTGACTCATCTATGCTAAAAGAGAAAGATATCCGTTTTCCCTAGCGACTCTGGGTTCTGCAGGTATATCTGGTTATTAATGACAAGGTAATAAGGAAAATTGGAATTAACATATATGATTATAGAATAGGTACAGAGAAAAGTTAAACAAATTTAGTATAAAACAAAACGAGTAAGACACCCAATTGAAATTATACAAAACAATACAGGAGCAAAATCTGGACCATAACAGAACAACAAGAAAGTCGTATTCAGGCACAAGAAATGAAGTTTCTGACAAGAATTAAAGAATATACGGAGAGGAAAACGATTAGAAATGAAGACATCAGATACAAGTAAGATATTTACAACATTAACGACAAAATAAATGATTATAGAAGATGCTGGACGGAACATCTTAACAGGATGGGCGATAAGTTATTATCAAGCCTTTAATACTTGCAGCAAAGAATGAGAATAATTTGTTTATTTCCATAAACAATAGAGGGTTTTACATAATCCAGGACAAAAAGATATACTCCTCAAACAACTTGACCAAGGCTAATGCAAATATGACGTAAGGAAAATCTCCTACTCAAAAATGCGTGTGTAAAGTGATTTATCAAGCAGCAGGGCTTCAACTTTTCTTTTGAATGCTTGTAAATTAATGAAGATCTACCAGCAAAAACCACGACGTACAGGACCTGGAATAAACAAGTCCCTAGGCAAAGTAAGAGCAACGTGTATTTTAAATTTTGGGAAATATGGAAAACAACCATCTCTCTCCCGGAACTATACTACACATTTAAAAGCAAGTAAATTATTCCTGTTCAAATTTATATATTTTTATATTTATTTATATAAATTATTATATTAAAATTAAATAATATGAATACAATATAATAATAAGGACATTATTAGTGTGTGGTACTCACCTGGTACCTTACTTTAGCACAAATTCATTCCAGCGCACTTTTCCTGACTGGTCTTATCGATGTTTCTTTTAAGACAAATGACGAAAACTCTCCAAAACTTCCAAAATATCGTTAGCAAAAATGAACATCTATTTGCGTTTTTACTTTCTGCGAGATTGAGAAGTTGACATCGCTTTATTAACACGTACCAAAAAACAGAAAATACGTTTTTCCAACACAGACGTTCCCGATTGGGAAAAACCAAATTATTCTCCGCAGGAAGTGATGCGTGATATCATTATCGCTGTTATTAAGCAATTTTTGAGTTATATAGTGGGAGAAAATTTAACTAGGCTCAATTCAATACGCCACCTACATCAATGAAATTTGTGTTTCCAGTTTTATTTATCATACCCAGCAGCAAATCCTTCGTACTATGTTTATCGATACAGACTCACGACAACATCGGTTAATTATACAATATTATTACAATTAATACCTATTGAGTACTTAATACAAATATGAATTAAAGCAGGAGATGTAGTATAAAAACAAATTTCAGATGCACTGAACAAAAACACTACGTGTTATTAATCAAAAAGTAAATCAACAATAAACAATAATAATCAACATTAATTTCTAGCCAACGACAGGTGTCATTAATACACCAAACGTTGGTACGTTAGTTTTCTTGATCATTAATTACGAGTTTTGTATGTAATTTCGATAAACAGCAAGCACAGAGTTATTGCCGCTGATTAATAATATTATAAACAACAAATATTAAAAAACTGAACAGTGAGCAATAATGTACGATTGCCGGTTAAAAATGTGAGCAATGTACACCTTGTGCCAAATAAGAGGATCCACTATACGATATGGAAACCCATAGGAGATACGAAAAAATGTTTCGTACAAAAGTTTCTTGGACTCTCCTGACGATTTAAAATATTATAATTTTGTTGATACAGGAGGTTGCAGAATCCCCCCCCCCACACAAGTATATTTCGACATTTCGACATTTTGACATTTTTTGAATCCTTGGGTAACATAACGGTCACTTTCTTAAGATAATCCGATTTGAATTTTCCATAGTTTAAGCGGAAATTAAGTTTCTTTTTTCATATTTTGATTGCCCCGTAAAAATTGTGTTGTGACGCTATTGATCCAGGTATTGCAACGACAATTTAACCACAGACTAACGAGATGATGCAATACTCAATCAGTTTGACAGATGCGCCTCAGCTTATACAGGGTGTTCCAAATAAGTGGTGCCGTTTTGTCGAATTTAATTAACAAAATCTCAACATTTTCAAACGAAACACTCTATATTTTTATTCAGATATCAATTCTAGGACAAAAAACAATGAATGTTTTTAATTTATCTTATATTTAAATTTTACTTACTTTTTGAGTTATTCGAGGTTTAAGATAACACCCATATAAATTCTGGTTGAATTTAAAGCTGCGAACATTAGGTCACTTGTTCGCAATATTAGGTATTTTTTAAATAACAAAGACATGATGCTGCTTCTTTTTAAGATATAATACTCCAGATATACGAATAAAACCAATTGCTAACAATACGGGGTGTCCATTAATATGTGGAGATTTTGAGAAACATCGACTCTATACTACACACTTTAACAGATTTAATAAAACTTCAGAATTCATATTTAAGGAAACATTAAACAGTTAATTATCTAGCTTGATTGAAAATACCTAATAACAAAAATAAATAATTAAAGTTTTTAAATTAAGCAAAAAGCCATAACTTATTTAAAATATAAATAAAATATATAATAACAAAAAACTTGACAACTATGAACTTTTTAAATAAAAATATGAAAAACAATAAAAACAAACAGAAATTTCAAAGTATGTTTATACCTTAATGCGTAAAAAAAAAAGATTGTGATATCATAAATAATTACATTTTTAAATATGTTTATATTTCTTTGTTGTTTTGATGCCAAATGAAACGAGCATTTTAAGAATAACATTTTTAACTAAATTTTATGGACCGAATTAACGAACACTTTTTAATTAACTTTTTTTTATAGATTTATTTATTCAAATTTGTTACCTTGGTTAGTTAACCTATAAACTTTAATTAGTTGTTTTTTAATTATTTAATTATTATTTGGTATTTTCAATTAAGCCAGATAATTAACTATTAAATGTTTCTATAAATATGAATTCTGTAGTTTTATTAAAATCTGTATTGTTAGCAATAGGTTTTATTCGTATATCTGGAGCATTATATCTTTAAAAGACGTAGAAGTCTTTGCAATTTAAAAAATACCTAATATTTCCTACAAGTGACCTACTGTGAGCAGCTTTAAATTCAACAAGAATTTATACGGGTACCTCGAATATCTCAAAAAGTAAGATAAATTTAAATATAAGATAAATTTTGATAATTGAATTCGCCAAAACGGCACCACCTATTTGGGACACCCTGTATAAGCCGAGGCGCATCTGTCAAACTGCTTGAGTAGTGCATTATATTCTTATTCTGCAATACCTGGATCAGTACCGTCACAACACAATTTTGTATGGGACAATCAAAGCATGAAAAAAAAACATATAACTTCAATTTTTGCCTAAACCATGCAACATTCAAATTGGAATTTCTTAAGAAAGTGAGCTTTATTTTAACCAAGGATTCCACGAATGTCAATATATACAGGGTGTTCCATTTCAAATAACAAAGTTGATGCCGTGTGGGGGGGCACTTTTGGGACACCCTGTATCATCAAAATTATAATATTTTAAATCTTCAGCAGAGTCCAAGAAATTTTTGTACGTAATTTTTTTTCGTATCCTATTGGTTTCCAGATCGTACAGTGGGTCGTTTTATTTGGTACACGGTGTACATTTGTCTATAACAGCTGTACGTTAAAATAATAAATAGTGATCATAGATCTATTGTCGCTGTTTATTAATATTATGGACTATTTACATTAGCCTATTCTATGCCAAAAAAATACAAGCATAGTTCAGATTTTTAAAATAGCTAATTTATCTTTGACTTAGTTTGATCGTCCAAGGCTTTGAAGAAAAGGATGGATTGCCGATGGACAAGTACTTTATGGTGTAATTTTTGTGTCGTTATTGCAGATACATTTTTGAACAAAACTTTACTGATGTTATTTCAATCAAATTTAGGTAGTGCATCAACTTTTTAATCATTCTTCAAAATGCACTGCACTACAGCTTGCTACAAAATCCTCAATATCTAGATTATCATTACTTTTTTTTATTTTTATCTTTCCTTTGATTCCATTTCATTAACTACTTATTTTCAAGCCATAAAAGATAAAATATAAAATTACTTTTATACACAAAAAAAATCTAATTCTTTTTCAAACACTAGCGATCTAATCTAAAAATTTAAAAGCTAAAACAGTTTATTCTGCACTAGCAAAGAAAACAAAACGAGTTAAAGAAAAGTATTGATTCTGGACAATACTGACGTTTCTAATTTCCATTGTCAAAAAATGGTTTTAACATGATATTTAGACGAGAAAGTCTCACTAGCCGTTATCAATCACCTTAATGTTCAAAATAGTGATAACCAGCATTTATTAATTGTACCTGCAAAATTCGTTTCTTAAAATATTAAAACATTTCTACAAACACAAAAAATTCTAAAAATAGAGAATGTATACTTAAACTTCACACGACTACACTAACGGTAACCTGGAAACATTACATATCTCTCTCTCTCTCTCTCTCTTTCTCTCTCTCTCTCTCTCTCTCTCTCTCTCTCTCTCTCTCTCTCTCTCTCTCTCTCTCTCTCTCTCTCCTTTAAAAATGTATAGCAATATGTTCTTCTATTGAATGTACACAAGATTTGTGATTTGATTTTATGTCGGTACCTCGAAAAATATAATGTTCTAATCTTTAGCGCTGCCTAATAAGGTAGTTTCAGATTAAGACGGCTCTTATCAGTCGTACTTCACTAAACTGTCCGATCTTGTCTATTGTTTTCCTTCCACTGTGCGGATGTAGCTATTGAAAATAGATAAGTATACTTTCCTCAAATAAAGCATTAGACAAATTCGATCCTCACAACAGAAAAAGAGTTGTCGCATAATACACACTTATAACTATTAAAAGGCTAGAGTGTTATAAATTTATTTTGAAAAGTTGGTAAGCTTTTTTATACACACAATATTTCTAAAGAATTTGCAACGAGTATTCAATTTAGCAACATTAACATTAAGATAAACAGATAAAATATCTTAATTATGTAGCAACCACTCTCACACACGTAGTAGCATTGACAAGGTGACAAGAGGGAAAATTAAGGCTTTTCTTTCAATAGCTTTCAATTAAGGTTGCATTTCCTAACAAGGCTCCAAAAACGCTGGTTATATTTTTTCTTTTCTTTCTTCTCCGATTCTGAAATACCTCCATCTGGAAGGCGCCTCACGTAGCCGTCATACGTGATATGTTTATTCGTCATATCTACACTATTTATATTCTTTGACGTCACGCCCGAAAATAGTGCGTGTTTTACTTTTAATAACGCGTGTTTCTATATGGTATGATCTCTAATAATATTTTCTTATTTAAATTTTAAATGATTGAATTAAAACGCACCAAAGCTCGGTAAACATTTTTTAGCATTTTTTGTATACAATTTTAAAAGCGTACGTCGGTGAGTTACACGCATACAAAATTTGGGGGAACTAAATCAACGAAGCTCCCCGTGAAGGTAACTAAAGCATCATAAATTAGTTTGACACGTAATCTAACCCAGAATCCGTAATTTAATATACATTCAAATAAATTATGCATCACCCAAGACGGTTTCATATCTAACTGGTACAAACCTCAGCGCTCAGTTTTAAGCAGAACTAGCCGCAAGCCATACGTTTCAGCCTGGCGGCCCTTTAACCAATTCTCCAAGGAGTTCCCAAATTTATCGACACATTATCCTTTAGTGTGGTTTCCGACCCCTTCACCTAAGAATGTCATCGTATTCAGCTCGGTTTTGTTTATATACACCAACTGTTAAACCCCCGCGTCTACAAATACTAAACACCGCTATAAATAAACATCCCTTTTCACGGTTAACGGGTAAATTTATGACGCATTAAAATTCGGTTAATTAAAACACGCTCTTACGAGAGATATATTAAAAGATAGGGCATCCAAGTAATTCCTATTAGTCACACGACAAGACGATAATGGTATTGGGAATGTAATAAATTACCTCTCCAGTTGTACTACGAGATATGATAATGCAAAAAAGAAC